CCCTCACTGATGAAGACAAGGGAGAGTTAGAGACCATCCAGAACACATTCAGCTCTCGAGTCAATGACTTCACCATGATTCTGTTCACTGTGGACTCAGATCCTACAGATCCAGCTGTTGGTAACTTTGTGAAGGGAAACAAGAAAATCCAGGAGCTCTGTGAGAGCTGTGGAGGAAGATCAGTTGTTATCAACATCAAAGACAAACAGCAGATCCCACAGCTGTTAGATACTGTGGAAAAAATGAGACCGGGCAAGGACAAACCAGGTAGTTATACAACTGTAACATTTGCACACGCTCAAATAGAAAAGATTGTTCAACAAGAGAGAAATATCACTCGGCAACAGGCTGAACTTGAAAAACTGAAAAACAAGAAACATGACACATGTAAGTACATTAAATATGTATTCTCTCTGTTTTATATCATGTCCAAAAATCTTTAAAAAATGAATTTACAATTTGTCATCTTTACACTATTATAATAAAGTAAAAGCAGTTGTTAAAAAAAAATTGTAAAATGTTACAGGTGATGAAGTGAAGCAGGACTCAGACTGTCTCAGGATTGTGCTGATTGGGAAGACTGGAAGTGGAAAGAGCTCATCAGGAAATACCATTCTAGGAAGAAAGCAATATAAAGCTGAATCGAGTCAAACATCAGTCACCAAATACTGTCAGAAAGCACAGGGTGAGGTGGACGGTCGTCCTGTTGGTGTGGTCGACACTCCTGGACTGTTTGACTCAACTTTGACACATGAAGAAGTTTATGAGGAGATGGTGAAATGTGTCAGTCTCCTGGCTCCAGGACCACACGTCTTCCTGCTGGTGATGCAGATTGGTAGATTCACACCAGAGGATAAACAAACACTTGATTTTATCAAGAGTGGGTTTGGAAAAAACTCTGAAAAGTTTACCCTTGTTCTTCTAACTGGAGGAGATTCACTAGAGGAAGATGAGGTGTCCATTGATACGTACATGAAAACAAAATGTGATGATTCCTTTAAGAAGCTGATCTCTGACTGTGGAGGAAGATACCATGTGTTCAATAACCGTGAGAAAAAAAAAAGCTCACAAGTCAATGAGCTGATAACAAAGATTGACACAATGGTGAAAAAAAATGGAGGAAACTACTTCACCAATGAGATGCTGCAAGAGGCTGAAGCAGCGATAAAGAAAGAAATGCAGAGGATCCTGAAGGAGAAAGAAGAAGAGATGAAGAAACAGATGGAGGAACTTGAAAGAAAACACGAAGAAGAAAAAGGAGCAATGAAAAAAAGAATGGCTGAGCAGGAAGAACAAATTGAAAAAGAGAGAAAACTGAGAGAACAACAACTTAAAGAAAAGGAAGAATTCATCAACAAGGAGCGCGAGCAGAGAAAGAAAGAACAGGAGGAGAGAGAAGAAGAAGAGAGG